CTTGTAAAGCAAACACTGTATTTTGGCGCCACCCAGCGGTGAATCGTTGTAAAAGCCACACAGGCCACTTCCGGTCTTCCAGCTAAACAAGGAAGTCAAACCGACTCATCATGTCTTCTCAATTTTCTTAACGCTCTTTTGCCCCAATACCGCCTTTGTAGGTTTTGTAAGAAAACTGTTAGTATCTGTCAATATGGCGATATCGACGTTTCAAAAGGTGACCCTCGCGACCTGCCTCGTGCTGTGCGTCGCACTGCTGCTTCCCAAGATGCTGCTGTCCAGGGGGAGGAAGGATGCTGCCGAGCGGCCGGAGGGTGCGTCGCCTTTCTCGGATACTCTACGACCCTTGTTTTTTGTTTGGTAGCAGTTCACACAGCTTATTAGAAGCCTTTAATATATTTGCCCAATATAACTTTTGTCTGAATATTTATTTTTAGAATTCAAAGCCATAATATTAGCAGGACATCATAATGAATGTATACTCTTGTAGTTACACTTTCTTCCCGAACGGTGGCGCCAAAAACAAATAATTGATACTTATTAAAAATGTCACAACCAAAAATATATACTGTATATACGTATAGATGTTGTTTTAACGTTGATTTTAAAAGGAAGTCAACATGTGAAAAGTAGTATAAACTTTAACCTATAACATTATAACATAGAATTACCATTTATTTTACAATTATAGTGTATGTATAAAAATATAAAGGTTTCTAAATGAACTTAGGCGAAAAAATACCAGTGTCAAAAATAATGATTAACTAAATTATTTGAAACCTAAATGTAATGTAAGTATATAAATAATTTAATATTTGTGACCTTCCAGAACTAAATTGTTGAAAAGTTTAGATGCAAAAATTACATTCCTGCTTTTTGTTTCATCAGTGGTGATAAAACTTAAAGTATTCAGTTGGACAAAAAAAATTTGCTTTTTATTGTGTAATCTTCAAATAGGATCAAATAGGTTGATTTTCAGCTGATCTTTTCCCTTTTCTTGTAGGTTCAGGTCGTTTTCCTCCCATGATGCACCGTCAGATCGTTCCAGAGGCTCGAGGCCAGCGAGCAGCGGGGTCCGGCTTCTCCAGGGCCCATAACCCTGAGGCCACAGCCAGGGCCAAAGGAGCAGGGACCGGAGCAGGGACCGGAGGCAAATCCAACCTCGCAGGACAGATCATCCCTGTGTACGGCTTTGGGATCTTACTCTACATCCTTTACATATTATTTAAGGTAAAATACATCCAGCTAAACACAAAACCAGCAATGTCAAAAATAACTTCTTATCACTCCAGAACAAAAATAATAATAATAAAATAAAATAACTGTGAGGACAGGAAGAAACGGGATAAAACAATCGTGTTATCCTCTCCCTGTTAGATCACATCTAAAGGCAGCAGCAAACCAGCAGAGGGAAGGTTTCCTCCGGTTCGCTCTGAAAACATGAAGCGAAAGATCAGTGAGTTTATAACACAACAGCTTTTGATCTCATTTCTACATTTCTCTTCCTTTTTTTTTACTTGTTATGATTGATTAACTTCAAAAGGTCCTGGTGAATAAGACATCTGTTCTGAAGAAATGAAAAGTTTTTTCTGTGTCATATTTTAGATTAAAATCACATTTTACCTTTTCATATTAGAGGTATGAGCTCATTTTGTGATGCGTCAGCAAAATAAAACATAAAATAAAATGAGAAAAAGATCAGTTCTGTGTCAGCCCACCACTATTGTCAGGGTTAATAATATTTGCAGCGTTTCAACTCCTGTTTCTCTCCAGCTGACTTCGAGCTGGCCCAGCTGCAGGAGAGGCTGAGAGAGACGGAGCTCGTGATGGAGAAAATCGTTTCCAGTGCCCACCACCAACCTGACAGGTGGGTGGTCTCCTGTCAGGAATCACTTGTATTTCATCTGTTAAAAACACATTCCTGCATTTCATCCTTTAAGAAAACGTTCTGATTACGGCTTTTGCACCTAATCATGGTTTAGATCTCTCGTTGACAGTTAAATGTCCCCATGCTAATTTATTTTTTAAATGTGCTACTGGCCTGAGCAGGAGGAGGGAATATAAATTTACAAAATAACTGTAAAGCAAATTTCAACAGAAATTAAAAAAACTTGTCCTGACAGCTACAAGAATATACAGAAGAGAATCCTTGTTTCCTGGTGCAATATTTTTTTCTTTTAATTGACATTTTTCTCAGAATTCTATGAAAAAAAGTTGGAATGCACTTTTTTTCCTGCACCATGGCCTTAATCCTCTTCTGTACTGTGAACTAATTTGAATTCTACCACCTGGGTTCCAAACAAGTTAACAAAAATCTAAATAATGCTTATCTATAGTTTTCTACTGCTCCATAAATAAAATGAAGGGGGCCATCATCACCGTCACAGAAAAATCCCTAAGATCTGACATCTTCAGACAACTTCCAGTTGAATGATACTGATACCTAATTCTGACTTTAATCTCAGAATTATGAGAAAAAGTCAATCCACAAACAAACAAACAAACAAACAAACAAACAAACAAACAAACAAACAAACAAACAAACAAACAAACAAACAAACAAACAAACAAATATGTCAGAATTCTGAGCTTAAAGTTAGATTTCAACCGTTCTACAATAATTAAAGTATTTTTTCTTGAAAAAAAAAACAGGTATTATTTAAAATTGCAGCTTTTACTTTTATTTTGTTACTGTAATGGATCTAATACTTTCATGTTTAAGCTAGTAATTCATGACATCCTTTAATGACCTAGGTTTTCATGACATGCTGTTCATCTGCAGACAGAATGATTAAAGTCAGAACAAGATTTGCTAACAACAATAATCATTCTTAGATATCACTTGTGTTCATCTTTGTGTTTTCCATTGACCTTGTATCAAATCTTTTCAATCAAAGATTGAAAAGTGTCAAAAAGATTGAAAAGAATCAAATGATAATATTACTTCTTTACTTTAAAATGTAAAACCTTGTAACACGCTACGAATTTTAATATGACTGAACTCATCATGACAGGAATTGTTTATGCAGTCTAAAAAAAATGAAGTGTTGAATTTGATTAACCAAGCTGTGTCAACTGGTTCCACTAAACTGGGTTAAGTAAATGTAAAGCAATTTACTCCGTTTAGTGGAACCAGTTGACACAGTTTGGTTAAGTAAATTCGACACTTCATTTGTTAAGAGTGTGTGTAAAATGACTTGTACATTTACTTTCCCAATTATTGTGCGCAGTGAAATTCATTTTTACCAAAGTTCTTTTCTGTTGAGGTATTTTTACTTATATTTCAAGCACTTTATACACCTCTGGTTTTAGTCACCAACAGATGAAGCCTGTTGAGATCCAGGCTTTAGGCCAGATGAGAGGAAGAGTTGAAGAGAATCAGTGTGTGTGTGTGTGTGTGTGTGTGCGCTGCAGGCTGAAGGGAGTGACTGCAGACCAGGAGGAGAACCTCCTGCAGCAGCTGACAGAGATAACTCGGGTCATGCAGGAAGGCCAGCTGGTGGAGGGAATCGTACCAGAGAAGAAGACCCAGAAAGACTGGGAGGGTGTGTAAACACTGCACGCTCACATACAGTACAATAGAAGATGGAGGGTTTTTTAACGCCATCTTCCAGAATGTACGGAGCTCAGCTAGTGACAGCAAATCAAAAAAATTAATAAATCATGTGGTTACGCTTTATTATTTTTCATTTCATTTATAAAAATCAAAAAAAAGTCTATTTAAAAAAACAAAGAAAAGCCATTATTGAATGAAAAGAGTGCAGGAAGAAAAAAAAAAAATAAAATGTATTATTTTGTGGCCATGAGGTAAACAACGTGTGGCCACGAGATAATTATTGCAGTCATTTCTATGCAGAGGCTGTTGATTCTTAGAATGGACAAGTTTTAATTAATAAATTTTATTTTAATATGGAAATAAATGACACTTTAGTCACTTACGTTAGACATGAAGTAATTCTTAGCGTTATATGTTGCAGCTTTAAAGCACAGGTAACAGTTCTCCAACACCTAGGGCGTTCATTGTCATCTCAAATACTAAACATACACTTAGTAATAACACTAAACACAAAAACAACTTATTCAGATATAATCTGACTCCAACAATGCCTGGATCTCACACAAAGGGACAAGGCTACTCAAAATTATTATTTTTTTAATCTAATGTCACCGGACGAGCACCGTAAGCATGACATTAAAAGTTGTTTGAACTTTTTGCAGAATACCCTGAGGAACTCCATCCCTGCTGGGAGCAGACCCACTGCTGCTGTCAGCACAGCCCAACAGAGGCAGATCAGGAGGAAAGAAGCGAAACAGACTGGGACAAGCAGACAGGAAACCTCCCCGATGACGCCGCAGGTGCAGAAGAGGCTCAGGGAGCAGACCCGAGCACAGAAGCGGTCTCAGCGACCGACACAGGTGGGACTCCAGAGAGAGGGGTTGTGTTCGAGCACGAGGAGGAAGCCCGGATCAGCGTGACGGGCTTCCAGGAGGAGCGACAAGATGAGACCCTGAAGGAGGCGGAGCTTGTGCCGGAGCGGCAGACGTCAGGAGAGTGGGTCCGACCAGCAGCAACAGAAACATCCTGCAGCTCAGTCAGACAGAGGAAGAGGAGGAGAGCGAAGAAAGCGGCACACTGACTCCACGGACAGGCCTGTTGGGTGGGGCGCAGCGTTCTCTAATCTGTTCTTCCAGCAGCACGAAAAACTGGTGATAGCATGAAAATAAATCACCAGTAATCTTTTACTGAACTGTGTGCAGCGTAGCTGTAAATCACTCATATTTTATTCCAGTGTGAGAGCAGCATTTTAACTATTTATTCAATAAAATAATCCAATGATGTAGAATTTCATCAGGGTTTGGATGTGTTAAAGGGATCCCCGATTAGTTGTAACATTAGACTTTATTTGATAAACATATACTTTAACTGTAAAATAAAGACTGTAAAAATACTGTAGGATGTTCACTTTTTATAATTTTTTAACTAAAAGTTTAAAAATATATTACACGGACGGGGCCATTTTATTTACATGCAAAGCATTCTGGGTAAATGACATCAGCTAGGTCATCGTGTGAGGCTGCTAGCGAGCTATATCCACTCTGAATATTAATCTTGGACAATATCTGATGATCGACTCTTTTAAATGAAACCAGAGAGCGTTGACAGAGAGGAGAAGGTAGAAATGACTCAGCCTGTAACTGAAAATATGGATGGAGGACAACAGAGCTGCTTCATGGAAGAAGAACCTTTTAGCGTTAGCCCCGATGCTATCACCATATATGTTTTAGCTCAGCGCTACACATTCTCCTCTCATCAATGAGGTCCTCCATCCACATGACAGAGAGGGGAACACAAAAATGACTCAGTCTGCAACTGAAAATATGGATGGAGGACCTCAGTTTAGCTTGTCGCGCTAGCACCAAGCTGATACATATAAGGCAATATAGCGTTGGTGCTAGCACAAAGGCTAACAGGCTAAGCTGAGGTTCTTCTTCCATGAAGCAGCTCTGTTGTCCTCCATCCATATTTTCAGTTACAGGCTGAGTCATTTCTACCTTCTCCTCTCTGTCAACGCTCTCTGGTTTCATTTAAAAGAGTCGATCATCAGATATTGTCCAAGATTAACCTTCAGGGTGGATATAGCTCACTAGCAGCCTCGCACCGATGACCTAGTTGATGTCATCATTTACCCAGAATGCTTTGCGTGTAAATAAAATGGCTCTGTCCGTGTTAATATATATTTTTAAAAACTTACAAAACTAAACAGCCTTCCGTATTTTTAGTCTTTATTTTACAGTTAAAATAAATGTTTATCATATAAAGTTTAATGTTTCAACTAATCGTGGATCCCTTTAAGAAAATGAAAGTGCTTCCACATAATATAGGTTTTAAAATGGACAGCATGTTTGTGCTACATTCAGTCAGGTAAAATCTTTATATAAGTTCATCTGAGAGGTTTAAAAACAAAAACACTATAATGTGGAGGATATGCGCAGTGAGATGCAGAAGTTTTCTCATCTTCAATCAGGTAGCAATCTGGTTTTTTAAGGTTCAAGAATCCTAAAATTGAAGTTTTTCTAGAACCTGATTTCTATTTCCGTTTGACCTAAACATACAGATTTAAAATTCTGTTCACAATGTGTGAAAAACATATTGTTGCTTTACTGCTGCCAGAAACAGACGTGTTTGGATAGAAAGGATAATTAAACGAAATATCTTCTATAAACCACTAGATTCCTGCAATATTTATCTTCCATGTGGTGGTATTGTAAAAAAAAAGAGCAAAAGCACATCTCAAAAAAAAAATCAGTTTATTACTTGTATAATTGTGTACTTTACCCATAGAAAAGCAACGTGACATGGGTTGATGTAAGCAAAGACTAATCTGAATAAACAGTGGCACATGACAGCAGCCTTCCCCTCACAGTTTCTCTGTTGTCGCTGTGGGATCAACAGGAAGCAGATCTTCGGCTGCCTCAGTGCTCCATTGGCTCATCGGCTGCATCTCTGGCAGCAGGTTCGTCTGCCGGCTGGGCAACCTGCAAGAACATGGCCGTTATATTTTTAAAACAGAAAAAAGAGCAATATTAATACTTTTAAAGATTTTTTTTGTAATTAAATGACCTACAGTAGAATTATTAAAGCAGTGATGTTACCTTTCTCTGTGGTCTCTCTTCCAGCCCCTCCAGGAACGGAGCCACATCATCGTCATCATAAATGGTGAACTCCATGTCCTTCCCCACGATGCCAATGGAAACATTCTATAAGAATAAGATAATTATAAATGATCTGTTCCTTCCTCACTAACAACCACTGCAGACTGTAATCTGCAGTGGTGCACAGGTGTTTTATTACAGGAGGGATGTGCAGGTTGTGTTTTACACAGTGATGAAGACAAAAACAAGTCCTCTGTTCAGAGTGACATGTAAAGCCAGAGGAGGGGCAGCTGGGTACCTTGGTGGTGAGGTCCTGCTCGGCGGGAAGAGTTTCTCTGAGAGCGCGGAGGCCGTGCTGCACCAGGTCGTTCAGGTTACCTGACAAAATCAACAAAAACGTTCATCAAGGCGATTTCAGATCAAATTAATATCTTATTATTAAGTGTCTCATATCTGCAGTAGCGGGTTAGCAGACACACTCAGGATTTGGGTTTTTACTGATCGACTCAAACTGTTTGTTTTTCTAAGACAAAATGATAAAACACAGAACCTCGATTATTTTTTAACAGATCTGTGTGCACTAGCTTGAATTTGTTGTAGAATTTCTTTAATCTACAGAGAGTCAGAAACTTGCATACAAGCTCTAATTTACAGAGTGAGTCAAAAGTCACAGGACACCCTTTAATTCTGATCCAATTTGACAGTTTTCATGGTGGGGGCCATTCTCTGGACATGGTTACTTGATGGGATACTCAGATATGCCATTTTCTATTTTTTCTTAAATAAAAAAGTGTCCTGTGACTTCTGACTCACCTTGTATACGTGCATTCACCTGTTTTGTAATATATAATATATAAGCAGTGTTGACGGTTACAGAATGTCTTAACTGAACAAAGCCAAAACCTATTTGCTCATCTCTTGTGATCATGATTGACTGCAGCTGGTAGGTTTTCTTTGCCAGTGCAAAAGGGATTTGTTTGATGGCTCATCTGTCCCCCTCAGATGTCAGGATGTTTAGGGAGAACTCAGGAACCACACAGGTTTAAGCCTGCTCTGAAGTGTTGTGGTGGTAGCATGAGGTGATGCTGGTGCACAGAGTGGATGGAAATAATACAAGGGGTGGTTTGCATCCAATGTTTGCAACTTCGCTACAAATGACCAGCTAGCTGAATTCAACTTGGACACAGTCGGGTCTTCCTAGCTTACCAAAGAGTGAGTTGATGCCACCAACCTTGCTTACCTGACTTGAGAGACATTGAGCATCTAAAGCCTTTCATCTGCCTACATCCCCCAGAATGCCGTGCGGTTGTGGATCAGTGTTCAGTGAAATGATCAACATTCTATCGGATGTATTATCTATTGATATTGATCACGTGTCTATCATGATACATATTGTTTTATCACCTGGCTCTAATCAGAAGTTTAATGTTTAATAATAAGGGTGTGATCAAAGTGTAACTTGCTAAGAGACATTCGCACAATTATCAGTGGAGGTGTTTATATGTTTCAGCTTGTATGTATAGTTTAGACCTGTGATTCCCAAACTTTTTGTCTTCTGACCCACAAAATACCCATGGCAAAAACTTGTGACCCCAAATATTACTGGTCTGAGTACATGAACTTTGTTAATAACCCTAAAAACACAGGCTTTTTGACAATCTAAACTGCTTGTACACAAATATAAATACTTATTTTTACTTATTTTGTGTTTTTGTAATAATTATAGGAAAATATTACATCAGCAATTATTTTATTACCCTTTAAATTGATTTCTGGAGATTATCCAAGGTGCTTCATGAC